ACAATCTCCTTTTAAATACACGATGCTGTAGTGAATATCCATAGGCCATAGAAAATATAAAATTCAATTTACTTCTTCAATAAGGGTCTGTTATTGAAACTTATCCGTAAACATATCTAGGAAAGAAAAATAAGAGAAAAATGAACTTAACCTCTCCAAAACAAAAACTAGATTATGTATAAATTAAACTGTAGAATATATTTCTTATTAGCTTTCTTTAATGATAATTGACAAAAAGGGGAACTACATAATCAAACATGGGGTTTTCTAATGATAGATACCAAAACTCTAATTTATCATAAACTAGACTGGACAAAATAGAAGACTGAGTTAGGTACTGTGCACCCAACCAAAAATCTTGTGATGGATCAGTATTACTAGTAATGAATCAACTGATGCAGGTAGCTGACTCATCTAGTAGGGTATGCTTAGAGATGTTGTATCATTATTAATCCTACTGATTTTCATGCACATTTCAGGCAACCCTCGGATCATTCACAGGGATATCAAGTCGTCAAACATTCTTTTAGATTTCAATTGTGAAGCAAAGGTATCTGTCATTCTACTTATTCAAAGTTTGATAGTTGTTCTATTTATATCCCTCCAAATCTTAGCACTCAAAATTTTAATGTTAGGTCTCAGATTTTGGGCTAGCCAAATTAGCTCTGGATGCAAATACGCATATTACCACACGAGTCATGGGAACTTTTGGGTGAGCATTCATTAATATGTCTCCAAACTTCTGTTTTTTCTTATGCACTCTTTCATTTTCCATTCAGACTATTTAGAGTAAAAAACTGTATTAACATTTATTTCCACCCTCATAAAAGGTATGTTGCCCCCGAATATGCTTCAAGTGGCAAATTGACTGAGAAGTCTGATGTATATTCTTTTGGAGTCGTGCTTTTGGAGCTAATTACTGGGCGAAAACCAGTGGATGTATCCCAACCCTTGGGAGATGAAAGCTTGGTTGAATGGGTATATATAGATGCTAATCTTGCTTTTATCACTCTTTTTCTAGTGTTGCTATAATTTTGCTAATCTTGTGTTAGATCAGCCTAATATTAGTGTCTATTCAAACATATGTTTGGGATTAAAATCTATATATTGATATCGCTTTTCCTCCCTTTGGAGATTGTATCATTTTTCATGGTAACTTAAGTATATGATAAGGATGACAAAATCTTACTATTTTGCAAGCCCTATAGAATAGCTATGGTTGCAATCAAGCTAAAATTGTGGAATGTTTTGGCCGAATTTAGCATGCATAATTTTGTTCATATATTTGTCTCTGAAACTTTATGGGAACTTTCGTAATTTAATAAGATCAGGACTTTGTCTTCAACCGTGGTGAAGAAAGATGAAGAACTAATGCCACTGGACATGGGTTTGCTATTATTCTTCTACTTATGAAAAAGAACATAAAATTATACAATTTTAACAGCCAGAAACTGTCTAAACTTATAAACATATTCACTTAAATCATCCTTGAATGTTTTCAAGTCTAGTTTTCCTTTAAAGATGCTAATATGCTACTTTATTTTTCAGGCTCGGCCTTTACTGAGTCATGCAATCGATAGTGAGGAATTGACTAGTTTGGCAGATCCAAGGCTAGAAAAGAATTATGTTGAGAGTGAATTGTATTGCATGATTGAGGTTGCTGCTGCTTGTGTGCGGCATTCAGCTTCAAAGAGACCTCGCATGGGACAGGTAAATATTGGATATTAGAAAAGTGGCAAAATGTTCTATTTGGTTATGTCAACACACTACTAACATGGTTTTCCTGAATTGTTATGTTTCATAGGTTGTTAGAGCTTTTGATAGCTTAGGAGGTACTGATCTAACCAATGGAATGAGACTTGGGGAAAGCGAAGTGTTTGACTCTGCACAGCAATCTGAAGAAATAAGATTATTTCGTAGGATGGCATTTGGTAGTCAAAATTATAGCACAGACTTCTTTAGCCATGCTAGTTTGAATCCATGAAAGGGCACTACTGTACATATGGTTAAGGTGCATTGTTGTTGCTTTTGATTGTGGAATTGACTTCATCGGGTTCACATCCTCATTCTGGTGCCTGAATTTCATTATTCTTTCCATTAGCTGGTTTTTTAGCAGCAATTTTGCTTTTGTAATTAGAATTTGTAAAAAGTTACCTCTCACACTCATGATGACAAAGATTAACATTTTAGTTGATTTGTCATGTAATGATAGAACAGATGTGTGACTCTTTTTTGTGTGCCTTCTGCATATTCTCTTCTGAATTTTTAATCAGAGACAGCAAGAAGCTTTATGTTTTTTGCATGAGACTGAAAGGTGGAAGGGAATGGAATGGACTCTGTTGTGACATCATATTTGCATTGATAGTAAGTGACATCTCAAAGAAACCCTCTTTTTTTTTTTTTGTCAATAAAGGCAGGTAAACATGTAATGATGAACTATTTGGACTTTCTATCACAAATATGATAGTTATAGTTTGGATGAATTTTTTCATAACTTCTTTTAGAGGAGAAATAAAATAAAGTAAATATTTTTATAAATTAAAATTAGTAAAAAAATTGACCTAAAGATGATATGATGGATGTATGAAACTTATTTGAGAAACAAATTAATATTATGTTGGAATCCAGACTGAAGTTTTAGACACGGTATTTGGGTCTACTCATTCGTATCCCATTTGGTCGGTAGATGAGACCATAAATTCTTGCTTCATGGGAAAGTCTTCTTTTCAGGGTTGGTCAAAGCTCTAAGATTTGTTTTAAGTTTTAGAATCTTGTAATTATTTAGAGTATAAAGTTGGATTGGATGATGATATATTGGAAAGAAAGCGTGCCTCTGTTAGCTTTGAATGCAAGAATTGTTGCCCTCAATGTTCGGAATTATGGCTAAAACAATTTTGGCTTTGTTTTTATTCCTTTTAGAAAAGGTTAGCTTATGTTATTAATTATGCAGTAAAATTAAAATAAAAAGGTAAATTTCTTCATAAAATAAAATTGATTTGAGCATAGGTTAATCTGTTTAAACTTTTTATGTAGGTTCTTTATATATTTTTTATTATTATTTATGCATTAATTATTTTAGTCTATTAAAAAAACTCATTTTATTTTTAATCTTATTTTTCTTTCTTAAAGTATTTATCAGGAAACCTTTTTAAGTATATTCATGATTATTTTAAGAATAAATATTATTAGATACAAATAATGTGTTTTAAATTAATGAAAAATAGATTTCAATTTATTTTCCTTATTTTATCTCGATAATAATCTCCATAAAAAAGTAAAATATAAATGTTGTGACAAATCAATAGTGGTGCAAATTACTTGACTAAAGTTTGACTTGAGTGCAAGTTGTGTGACCTAATATTCCTCTCATCAGCCACTGAATAACTTCATGCTTGCATATTATACTATTTACATCACTTCCTATGCGTAATAGTTGACTTTTTTGTCACTTTGTTTTTTCTTCAAAACCACCAAAATCAACTGAAACATAAATATGATAATATGGTAGTGTCTCATCACATTTAGTTCTTCTTCTTTATCCATTTTTAAACGCAAACATTTTATTGCCAAGCATAATCATTTGCCGGAATACGCTGCTAATATATAAGAAATGAAAGTTAATATTTATAGAAATCAAGGATAAAAATAAAAGATAAAAGTAAATTATAAGAATATTAGCAGAGTATGTATAAAGATTAAATTATATTTAAATGATAAAATATAAGAAATGAAAGTCAATTTCAAAAAATTTATTATAATTTATTTAAGTTTTAGATTGAATAAAGACGATTAAGTACACAAAGTCAGAAAACGTGCATGACATGAGTGAGGCAACTAGCAATGGCATGTTTGGTTCCGTATCTCAGATGTGTTTTTTCACATTTACTGAGAATCTGACACTGTTGTAGCTTACACTTCCACTTGGAAGACATGATTTCTTACTTTTCCATCGGGTTTTCAAAGATGTTGCAGTTGATTTGGGGATTTCAGTCGTGAATCAGTGCATTTCCCCCTGCAGACATGGGACTTTGATGAACACAAATGTGACTAAAAATCTCATTCTAAACCAAACCCTTCAGTCAAAGAAACGGTGCCTTAGTGTAATTGCAAATAACAATGAAGATAAACTTTGTATTACTTGCTGACATGTGAATCTGAAGGGTGCTCTTCATTCAACTTTCCTCTCCAGAGGATTATCTGCTCATCCTTAAACAAGATAGGAACACATGGCACTAAATCCTGCAATAATAAGAACCCTCTTAATCTCCACATGCAATTTTGATCTTCAACATAAAGACAGAAAAAAAGGAAACAGTGAATTTTATAATGATTCTATAGACAATTAGACATTAGACATACCCTTAGCTTTACTCCAATCTTTTTGCAGTCACTGTTTCCCACATGGGTACAGTCCAGTCTAACAACCTCCTGAGTCTTAAGAGTCTCCCTCAACCTCTCCACCACATTCACATACACACCATTTCTAGCTGAATATTGAAATCACAAATTAGCACCAACGAATGCTACTTTAACCCTGATTAGGACCAAAACGCAATCTGTGGTGAGCCCTACTACCCAAATTCACTTACTGAGTTTCATGAGAGGATCTGAGTTTAATCCGATGTTTCTCATTTCTTTGTTTCCTCATATGTCAAACCCTCGTTTACATTCTTCACAAGCTTAGGATATATTGGTGCATAAGGCTTCCACAGCATGAGAGGAATAACTGGACGGTTCTTGGGATCATAATTCCGTCCTCTGTACAGAAGCAATATATTAATGTTGCAGTAGATAACTTTCCCATATGACTTGTCCTGTGGAAACAGCAATACACACATAAGGGGAAAAGAAATGCATTCAGAGAGTCTGATGAAGAATGATCAATCCTTTAAAGGTGCAAAACAACAATATGGACCTCAAGGTGGAAGCAAACATTGTCCATGTCGAGGGTTGGCACACCCAAGCACTTAATTCTCACAGCTTCAGCCTTCTTCCAGTGGTTATGGATGTCATCCAACATGTTGTGAGTGACTCCACCCTTTCCTAGCACAACACATACCAACTCATTGATTTATATACATAAATTATCTTCTCTAACTGCTATTTAGATAGAGAAGTGAAGAGTTATAACACTCAGGTAGTGTTTGACCTAGTTTTTTTATGTTCATAAACTATTTAAGGTTGAAGTTAAACATTTACATAGAAGTTTTTCTTCCTCGTCATTCTTTTACACTCCTCCATTATCACTCAAACCCAATAACCCTGACTACCAACGTCATTAACATGGTGCAACCACAAATCTGATATACTTATTATTTAAAACTACCACAAATAAAATATGAAGTTTTTTTCTGGATTTTATGTTGACAGCTTTGTAATTTAGTACAGATTTACATATAATTTTAAAGTTTAACACAACCGGTACAAAAAAAAAATGTTTCATCACAATTTTAGCCATTAATAAAAACAACAGCTAAATTCCATATTTTTCTATCAGTATCAAATGAACTTTATCATATTTCTGAACTTAGTGACAAATTGCTTTATGAACTTTTCAACTCAGTATCAAATGATCCTAAAAAACACGATATTACTTTTAAATTGATACTTCAACATTAAAACACAACAAAATAACTTCATAAAACTTAACATGTCATAACTGTGGCACTTCGCACAAATCGAGAAACTAAATAAAAAAATTGGTTTTTTTCATAGTATAAATTGTCATTAGTTTTCATAGCTCCGTTTCTTGAATTCTTCTTTCTCTTCTTTACTTTGTAGGGCTTTGTAGGATGAGAAAATGGTGGGTCGTATAAGTCGTCGGAAATGAAATGGCCGAAGAAACAACGCTGATGGAGTGGTAAACTACTGATGGATAATGAGATGATGTGGTTCCGCATATCGCGACGTTGAAAAGGTTAGAATAAATAGACCGAAAATGTTAAACATATAATAATATTTACAAAGCTTTTAGAAAACAAAATTTAATGTCAATTATCAGAGTGGCGCAGCGGAAGCGTGGTGGGCCCATAACCCACAGGTCCCTGGATCGAAACCAGGCTCTGATAAAATGTTGACTATTTTTGTTTTTTGATCATTTTGAGCTTAAAAAAACTGGAAAACTGAGAGTTCTATATAAGGTTATTTTGTTATTTGATCATTTGATGTTAGAAATGCTGGAAGGTCATTTTTTACTGAGAGTAATGTTGACTAATGCTGGAGAACAACATACTGAGAGTTCTATGGTTATTAAAAAGTAACCAATTGCATAATTAATTTTGTCTGAATACTTTAGGCATATACATATTATTTTGCTAAATAGTGATGTTAATCTTTTCTCGAAGTCAAATATAGATTCTCCTTAAAACTCCAAAGCCTCAGATTCTTTGACATGATTTGTCCCATATCATTCTGATCATAAAAAATTCAAATAGTTCAGGCTGATCATACTCCTAGTTTGAGACTTCCCCAAAACTAAAGATATATAAGGTGAGCAGCATTGCACACATCCCATTCCTCAATTGTTTACACAAAATAAAGAAAACAGAAATGATAAAATCATAAAAGAGTAACGTGGGCAATTCTAAGATGATGAAGAATTACTGAAAAGGAATGAAGGAACTGATTTCTTTAATAAGAAGCTATGCAATATAATCCTACAAAGAATTCAAGCTATGAACAGTAACTGCTACAATCTATGATATAAAAAGCAGATAATAAATTAACACTGTACACTACAAGAAAAAAGCCTATTACCTACGGAATATTACCTACGGGTAAAAATCCGTAGGTAAATTTTACATTACCTACGGATTTTACCTACAAAAGTATGTTCGTATATAAATTATCTATTACCTACGGAATTTACCTACGGATGTGAGGATTATGCATTACCTACAGATGTAGGAGGTAGGTAATGTTTTTTTACTACTTTACCTACTCATTTACCTACGGATGTTAAATAAAAAAAAAAGAAAAAAAAGAAAAAACCCTCGCTACACTTCCTCCGCGCCTCACTTAAGCTCCCTAACTCCTTCCTTCTTCTCCCTCAATTTCACTAACCTCCTCTATAACCCGCCACCCACCTCCTTCACCAGAACCCTAGCTGCAGCCTCCCCACTCTCGAGCACCCCACACGGTATCCTCATTTGAACCCATATACCCGTCACCACCAGGCTTCTTCCCCGTCACCACCACAACCATACCCGTGCCCTAATTCCACCTTCACTCACCAAAGCTTCTCACCAACGCAGAACCACCCCGCAGTCGCACCACATCTTTGTTAGAAAAGTAGTTTTAGATCAAGAGGGGGGTGAATTGATCTTTTGAAAGTTTTTCGCAAATCTCAGATTATCTAATTCGAAAATTAAGTTTCTAAAAATCTTTTTGAATTACCAAGCAATCAAACAATATTAGGCGCAACAACTGAAATTAAAGAGAGGAAGGTTAAGAAAGATTTCACCGGTATTTTATACTGGTTCACCCAATACCAGGGCTACGTCCAGTCTCCAGCCAAATTCCAGCTGGGTTCCACTAGAATAGATGTTTTACAGACTCAACAATCTTACACCTACTCTAACACAAGAACCAACTTCCAGTTCTTGCACTCAACCTTTCCACCAAGAACCAAATTCCAGTTCTTGGAAACCTCTGCAACCAAATTCCAGCCGCAGAGAACCCAGTACCCCAATTCCAGGCACCACACAGTACAAGAACCAAATTCCAGTTCCTGTACTCAACCTCTCCACCAAGAACCAAATTCCAGTTCTTGGAAACTTCTACAACCACCTACCAATTGCAGAAAACTTGTACCCAAATTCCAGGTATAACACAATACAAAAGAATTAACGATAATTGAAAAGAAGAGACTTAGAAAGCGCAAACCGGATTACACTAATCCACGAGTAAGTTTCTTCTTCAAAGTAATGCAAAAGTGCCTCAAGAAAGATTTCAAAAGAAGTTCACAAAGCAGTTGCGAATCTTTCTTGGAAAAGGATGCTTAACAGTTGCTTGAATTGTTGCTTAGTTTGTATGAAAACCGATATGTAAAAAGTTCCAAGCAAATCTGTTTTTAAAAGAGTTTTCGAAAAAAGTCTGCATTAATTAATCTGTTGAAAGTTTGTTTTAATCTGTTGAAATAGCCGTTATAATCTGTTAAAAGTCCTTTCAACCCATTAATGCGTTCTTGTTTCTTTAACGGAATGGTTTTAGTTGATACAACCATGTTTATATCAGTTAAAACATTTTACAAACATTTTCTAAGAGTGATTTAATCGATTGATTCGCGGTTTAATCGATTGATTTAGTTTAAAACTTTCTTATAACACTTTTCAAGTTATTTTAAGCGATACAAAGAAGTTTTAATCGATTAAAAACCTGCACGAATTTTTTCTAAGTCATTTTAATCGATTGAAATGCGTTTTAATCGATTGAAACTCTGTACAAAAATTTTCAAGTCATTTTAATCGATTGAAATTCGTTTTAATCGATTGAAATAAGTCTGATCGGTCATAATTCAATTCTGATCGATCATAACCAACTTCGATCGGTCATAATTTTATTCTGATCGATCATCCTGACTTCCAAAGTGGTTTTAATCGATTGAAACATGTTTTAATAGATTAAAATAAATCTGATCGCTCATTTTTAATGTCTGATCGATTATATTTCATTCGACTCGTCATATTCGAATTCTAATCGGTCATAAAGGGTTTTAATCGATTAAAAGAAGTTTGTATCGATTAAAATACTGTAAAAACACTTCTTTACGCATTCTAAGTGATTTTAATTGTTTCTTTTAAAACTATATCGGTTAAAAACATTGTTAAGAAAGTTCTTTGTCAAAATGCTTTTGTTTGATTTGTTTAAAACTATTTTTGAGGCATTTTGCAAATTGAGTGAAGGAGCTTCATGCAGTGGAAAAGGTAAAGTGGTTTTACCTAAGCTTTCGTTAAGACACACTAAGTCTTCAGCTCCATTCTTCTCGAGTGACTTGTTTAATCGTTGCAGAGTTGACCTTTGACTTTATCTTTGACTTCATCAAATCATCGAGATCTTTGCTAGGATCACTTTCGAGTCTCCCCTATTTGATGAAGACAAACACCATTTTGAAAAAACAATCTCTGCAAAATAAGTCACTTGATAATGAGGTTAGGTGAGAAATATAAGAATGTAATAAAGTTTTATTTCTCCCCTAAAACTTATTTCTCCCCTAAAATGTTGCTCTCTTAATGTAAGAGTTATTTTTCTAAATTTATCCTCAAATAAAGCAACTATTTCTCCCCTTTTGACTTCATCAAAAATAGGGAATAGAAGAGAAAAAAAAATGTAGGATTTGAAATGTGCTCAAGTTTTTGAAAATACAAAGTAAATCAATATTTCACTCATGAAAAGAATCAATTAAAGTTGATTCAAGCTTATCTCCATTAACACGTTTGTAATGAATACAATTAACACGTGTAAAGATAAGGGAATCACGCTTTAGTAGCATGTTACAGGAACAACCATTAACTAAAGCCTTTAATCCTCTTTTCAGAATAAAAATCGATTAAAAACAGAGCATAATCGGTTAAAATGTTTTTGGTAAATGATTTTAATCGATTGAAGGAAAGTTTTAATCGATTAAAACATTTAAGATTTTGAAAACATGAGATTTTAGTGAAAATAATCGATTATTTCGATTTTAAATCGATTAAAACCAAGTAATGAAAACTGTTGTTTAAGTTTATTTAACCGATTAAAAGGTGTTTTTATTGACTAAAACAACCAGATTTTGAAAATCATAATATCTCTCGATGTGAATCTTTCATATCTAATCTATTGGATATGTTGTGAACTGATTGTCTAGATTACTATCAACTATATTGATTGTCTTTTTACTAACAGATTTAACAATATCAGATTTTAGATTCTTAGGGATCTATGATCTACTTCTATCTCTGCCAGTTTAATCTCAATTAGACCCTAAATCATATCAATCAAGGTTAAGGAAAATGTACCTGGTATAACACCGAGTAATAT